TGGTTAGAACTTCTGGACCAGTTTTCATGAAGGTTCAATCAGAATTGGCAAGAGTAATTCAAAGAGGGTTTACAAAGTGTGTTACAAGCTTTCTGGAAAGTCTGGGAGCTCTTTCAGAACATGCTGAAGCAAAGAGATTCAAAGATCAAAAATTGGATGTTTATTCTAAGTTACGCTGATGCTGAACTTCTGACCCAGAATTAAGCTATGATGCATAATCTTACATTACAGGATTTCTGTTTTGATAATCCTTATCATCATTTAATGCTCACAACCACTTTTGAATCTTTATCCAAAGGATTTCCCCACGTGTGGCATAGAAGTACATTGTTATCCTTGAAAAGCACACTTTTGTACAAGTTTATGTTGGGTCCATGCTTTGCTTTTGCTTCTGAGGGTACTTTTCCTTAATTCCTGCTTACAAATCCAGCTTAAGCGCGGCTAAAGCTGCTAACCACCATACTTGTTTAAACTTGCTTCAAGAACAAGTCAGCACCCTAGCATATGATGGTTGTACCTTTGATCTCTCCAAGCTACAAAATCCTTGCCTATAAATTGAACTTCATTTTGAAACTGTAAAGAGGTCGAGAATTTGAGAGAAAACCTTGAAACTTTGCTGAAATTTTCAAGAACTTAAAACTGCAAACATAAACACAAAACCTGTCAGTTCCTGTTTTTTACATCCAAGTTCTAATATTCCTTGTGCATTTCCTCAACCAAATCATCCATACAGTTTATGATATACATTTAGAAGCCATTTCAAATTCTATTTACAGGCTGCAATCCAATCTTCACCAACTTCCATTTCAAAAAAATCAGAACTTGGCTTCTTGGCTGTTCCAGAATTTTCTAGCCATTCATAGCGCAAGTTAAAGATTTGTTCCAGCCTTCTGAGCACGTGAGAAAGCTGACCAGAACATCACAGCAGTCAAAACTAGACTCTAGTTCACAGAACATTCTCCAGCTGCAAGGTAAGTTCCTCCTGACTCTCATCACATTACTTAGGAACTGATAGGTTTGCATGTTTAAAGATACAATGTAGACATCTTGATTCTGATATTGTACATATTCATAAATTTCATGTATCTTTACCTAAGTAGAGAGAATATCAGCTCAGAACTTATTGAGGAAGTTAGGATTCAAAATTAGGATTAGTAGATACATGCTTGTTTCTGATTTACAGTCTTGATTATTTTATGTTTCTGAAACCATGATGAAGCCTGCCATAACTGCTATGTGTGCATTTTCTGTTTTGTTGAGAAATGGCTAAGGTGCAAATGTTCTGACTGGCATTGAGAAGAAGATGAAGCTCATCATCAGAGTTGTACTTTGCGTTATATGTTTATGTTTTTTCTTCTAATATCATATGTATAGCCACCCCAGTGGTAGAGAACGCATGCATAAGACATTAGTGTTAAGGGTCCTGAGTTCTAGCTCCAGAAACACCTTTATTTTTATGTTTATTCCTTGACATTTTTTCCATCCTGGACCAAAACTTCTAGACATTTCCATCCAACAGCATTTACACCTCACATACCCATTATCATAACTTCTAGCTAGCCAGTGACACTAGAACTTCTAGGTTTCCAGCTACATCAGAACTTGCAAATTCTCTCTAAACATCCAGAATTTCTAAACTCCCTTAACCACCAGAACTTCTGACCTTCCAGTAACATTAGCACTTCTAGGTTGCCAGTTACATTAGAACTTCTAAGATTTCCATTGTTCCCAGCAGCCCAGAACTTTAGTGTACCCGGACCTATAACTTCTGACCTTCCCTTGTCTGTTAACATTTTCTTTCTGACTTGCGGTGCGCCAGAGTCAGAACTTCTGTTCTCTCCTATATCAGCAATGCGTTGATTCTGATTCTTTTCCTTTATTATTTTTAATATCACTTCTATTTTCATCAATAAAAAACACCAAAAATATTTTTATTCACATACTTTATTTTATCTCTTTTAGAACAAAAAGACCAAAAAAACACTTTCTTAAGCTAATTCATTTCCTTCTTTTAACAAAAAAACAAAACAAATTCATTTTATATTTCTTGTATATTATTTCAATATGGTTATAATAGATAATTAGTTTTAATTTCTTGTCATCCCCATTTGTAAATTTGTATACCCCATCCCCAAATTATGTAATAGCATAGTAAATTTACTTTCTGCAATTTATCGCTTTCATATTAATGCTAGTAAATTAGGGTTTGTATGGGAAGATAAAATTAACAAGTAGATAACCCTAATCAAAGATTAAATGGATGCAAAATAAACACACTATTCACCTCGCAGATATCACAGCGAGGGGCATCATTCCTCTTGTACTGCCCGAGTCTCCCCGCCTTAATGAGAGTCTCGATAACATCCTTCAAGTGAACGCAGTCTTCGGTCAAGTGGCCATGATTCTGATGGTACTGGAAGAATTTTGTCCTGCCGGCCCCGGGCTTAGCAGGAGTTGGTCTAGGGAGCCTGACCACGCCGTCCTTGAATTCGGTGTTGGCGCACTCCACAAGGATATGTTCGTGGGGAGCAGTCAGCGGGGTGTATTCGGTGAATCGCTCGACTGGCCCTCTGTGCTCGCGGGAGTCGTGAGGCTTCTCTCTCGTTCTCTTATCCCCTGTTCGTCGAGAAGGGGCCGTGTCATTGTGTCGTAGGACACTGGTTGCTCGGAGGTTCCTAGACTCGCGGGCGTCATTGGCGGCCTCCTTTTCCTCATAAGTTATATAGGGACGAGATTTATTGAGGAGCTCGTCCAAAGACCTGGAAGGCTCGATGTCGACTGCTTTTCTAAAATCATTGCCCAGTAGGAGTCCCCTCTCGAGTAGTTACCTCTTCATGTGATTGGTTTAGGGGACCTAAATGGCTTCACGGTTGAATCGATCGATGTATGCTCTGAGAGTCTCGTCGCTCCTCTGGATGATTGCTTCGAGGGTGGCCTCAGTTTTAGGGTGCCGACGAGACATTGTGAAGCTGTTAGAGAATTGGTTATTCATACTCCTCCATGAGGTGATCGACTTAGGGGAAGGTTTTATACCAGTCCATGGCAGTTTTCCTCAGTGTCGGGGGGAAAATCCTGCACTTATTGCAATCCCGATGTTGTGATAGTGAAGCATCGTGCCTCAAAGCCGTCGAGGTGGTCGGCGGGGTTTGTAATGCCATCATAACTGTTTAGAGGGGGAGGTTTCTCCATCCCCTTAGGAATAAGGGCCTCCATAGTGGCTTAGGACAGTGGACCGCAGGGGTCGTCTTCGTCGCTTCGTTCTGGAGACCGAGAGGAGGAACGCTCGTAGTGGCAGTCTTTGTGTCAGGGAGGATTCTTTGACCGATTCTTCCTCTCTTCATTGCCCCTACCCCTTTTATGGTCAAGGGATCTTCATTCCTTGCGCGGGGGAGTGTGGCGGCACTTTTTAACGACTTTCGGTTGAGTCCACTCCAATGCAGGGCCTCGCCCGGTGCAGCGGGGAGAGGGGCTTCGAGAATCATCCCGTCAATGTCTTCGCGGAGGAGATTGGAAGCGTTCCTCACGTCGTCGTGGAGATGGAGTTCGTGAGTCGGGCCTTAAGTGTTTTTTTGGGGACCGGCGGGTCTTTTCCACCATTCCAAGGCATTCACCCTGCGCAAAGATCATTGGTTTGGTTGATCGCCGTGAACAGGGCTTGGGTCGTAGGGTCTGTGTTCTCAGGCACGGGGATCTTCTGATACACCGCGGGCCCGTAGTTGTCGAGGAGGATTGTCGTGCTAACACAAGTGGATGGAGGAGGAGGCGGTCATCCCTTCCCTGATGTCGTGCTCGAGACCGCCTGTATTATTGTTGTTGCTAGCGTCGACGAAATGAACGTTTTGATCACCGTTGTTGACTTGGTCGGTCGTGACGATCGGAAGGTTAAGAGTTGCTTTAATCTTGAGCTAAGAAAAGACGGGGAAGCAGTGTTCCCACAGACGGCGCCACTGATCGTACCTGAATAGAAGGAATCGTTACTGGCCAACGAGCTTGAGCTGGACGACAGTTGTTGGAGTGAAGTGGATGAGGGGTGTACTTGCAAGGTACTCCGATGCCAAAGTAAGAATGAGAATGATCAGAGTGTAAATACTATAGTAAGAGTGAATGAATGAATACCTGGCCCTCTCATGTGAGAGGGTATTTATAGCCTCCAGTGCTGGGTCAAAACTTTACTATTGGGCCACGATAAGGCCCAATAGTGAAGACTGTCAGGGTTACGTGAGTCATGGAGTCCAGCATGTGGTCTCCTCCTTGGTCAACTGTCCCGAGAATATACGGAAGTTAGACTCGTTATTCTCGGTGGGCAGGATAATGACGGTTATGGACAACTGTAAGTCATGTTCCCTTAGTGGACACGTGGAAAAATATCCAACGATTATTACTTTGGGCTAGATGCCATTGGACCTAAGTAGAGGTGCTGGATTAGGCCTCCCCAACAGTGGACCAAGTGTCAGTCAAGTCCAAAACAAAAACATATTTGTTATTCACAATATAATGAAATATATGATCAATTTCCAAAAACATTTAAATGAGATGTATTGATACCGAATTTATACCAAAAAATTACTATAGATCCTGAATTTGAATCTAGTTCTGAGTATTGATACCGAATTTATAACAAAAATTACTATAACAAAAATATATCTATATATTGGAAATAGTGTACTGTTGATTCATATTATTTATATAAAAAAAAGTCCAAAATGAAATGTAACTACTTATTGGTATGACAAAAATGAAGCGTGTAAGTGTTCAGAAAAAACTATAAGCTCCATTTGTTCTCTTCATGTAAATAACAATAATGAAAAGAAAAATAATAAAATCAAACATAAACGAAGTTTAACAACAAACAAGCTTCTTTACACAATCAATATAAACATTAATCTTTTCATCATTGCCTTAAAAGGGTGGTTCTGAAAACAAATTTAGAATTGAACATTGATAGAAATAGTGAACAAGACTTGAATCATACAATTTCCAGATGATCACTTCACAGTTTTCTAGCTGACAAATTGCTTCTCAAGAAGGTTACCACAAAATGCTAAATCGAATCTCTCCTCAGGAGGATCACCAATGAAGTCGAATACAGCATCTGCATTCAGGAAATCTTCATCTGCTGTATATCTGCATAATCCATTTGAGACCACGAAATTAGCTCGGTTGCTGAGTTAAGGGACATCAAATGAGTTTAAAGCCAGAGATCTCGCGTTCGATCTAGGAAACTAATATAATGACTTATAAATCTGCTTCGCATTAAGTAAATAGAAACATACCCGCTCTTTGTTACTATACACTTCATCCCAGCTCCTTTAGCAGCTGCTAGGCCTATGGCACTGTCTTCGACCACGACACATCTGTAAATAACAAATAACAAAATTTCACATTTAAACTTTGCATACTAATCATAAAAATTCAGTTGTCAAACACTAAATTACATTCGATATTTGAAAATTGAAATGTTAATAAATAATTCTCTTTGATTATTTGCAAAACACATAAAAATATCAACTTGTTTCTTTTACATGTAAATCAGTTCAGCTTAAGCCATTACAAAATCACATGGTGTATCAAAAACCTATTCAGTAACTGTAGAACTGAGTGACATTTATTCGAAGCATAGTTTGAGAACAAGTTACTATTATAAGATACCTTGAAGGTTCGACACCGAGAGTACTGGCTGCTAATAAATAAATGGCCTGTCACAAAGAGCACAACCCAATAAGCCACATATCAAGTCAAATTAGCATTGGAAGGATGAAAAATCTCCATAGTTCAACTATATTATGTAAAATGGTACTGCATATATACATAGATTGTGTCCTAAAAATCTACTAAATTAGCACTGGAATGATGAAAATCTTACCGGATCAGGCTTTTTGCGAGGAACTACGTCTCCTGCAAATATCTGGATTTTTTCTGCTCGCTCAGGTCCCAGTAAAAACGATACTATAGCAGAGACCTAAAATCAACTCACAATTTAAGTCCTGAGATGAAATACAAATAAATGTGAAACATTTAACTAGCACCTCTGATAACTAATCTACTAACGGTTAACCTTTTAACAGCTCAAATCGCCGGCATTGAAAACATGTTCAGTGTCTGACACATGTTGGTGTATGATTCCGATACAACGTCAATACATGTAGTTAGTTATATTCAATCGCTTTCATTATTTTATATTATTGGTGTCTACATTTCTGTATTAGTGTCGTGTTGAATGTGAGTTTTTCATAGTGAATAAATTATGCATACCGCCTTCTCATTGGAAGTACTGCAAACTGCAACATTGACTCCTTGAGTTAAAGCCTGATCAATAAGCCTATATGTTGAATAGAAAGAAACACATAATAAGACGAGACACAGAAATCAATTGTGAATAATGGAATTGAAAACTCAAACGATTAGGCGGAACCCAATAAATCAACTTATCTATATGATTAACAAAGAACATTCAAAAAAAGTAATGAGTTTGGATGTATAAGATAAAGAATAGATAGATAGTAACCAACTTTGCAACACCTGGGCGAAGAGGCAACAGTTTTTTCTCAATAAGCACCATGAACAACTCTGTCTTTCGCTTGTGAAGTGAAGCTATGAAATCTTTCCTTTCTTGTTCACCTGTCGGAGCGTTCGCTGGCCAGCCCGTCTTATTAAAGTACGCTGTCATTCTATAAAAAAATACTCATAAATTGTAACTTCAAATTCAAAACAATGATACAAAAAGATATAAAAGTATTTGAATTACTTACCTTTCTTTTCCGCCTCCGATTTTGAGCAATTCACCATACAATTCCACATCCCATGTAACTCCGAGTTCTTTCTGCACGACTCGACAACACACGCGCACACAAATGTTACATTAAAGCATTGCATAGTAACAAACGTTAATAACTGTCTACAAGGCATCATAGACTCATAGTTCATGTGATTGAGCTATGATGCCTTGACCATTGTATCATACTAAAAATTAACATTTTTCGATAAAAATAGAAAATCAAACAATAAAAAGGAGAGGCACCTACCTCTTGGAAGGTGTCATTGAAAGAAATGCGGTGGCCATCTTTCTCAGTGTCAACAAGAACTCCATCGCAGTCAAAAAGAAGAGCAGAGGGCAGCGTTGAAGCTTCAGAAACTGAGGCTGAGCAACTCAACCTACGCCTTGTGGTTGTTGGAGTTGATATCTTAAGAGCGGTGGTGAAAGAGGATTTTGAAGTACAACGTTGTTCATGATCTTGGTTGTGTATTAGGAGGCTAATTAGTGATGTTGCTTTTGATTGAGGAGTTCGATTCAACAATGAAGCAGAGGATATGGAGATGATGCTATTTGCTGATGCCATGGCCATAGCCTTAGCTTTTCCTTTGCATACCAAATCATCACACACACTTCAATAACTACTTATCTGCTTCCTTTGAAGTGGGACCGTTAATTGTGGTTTTCAACTTCCAACACAGGTTTGTTTTGATTAGGTAGTGTTGTCTTTCTTACTCTCCACGTGGCTTTACTATTTATACGCTACATTTCCTTCCTACACCCCTTCCTTTTGTGACATTTATTAATAAATTATTAATTTTTAAGCGATTGTTTGTTTTTCTTGAATAACATATAATGATTCTTTATAATTGATTAAAACAAACCATTTGAAGGTCGTTTGGTTTGTTGTTTGTTTTCACTCTTTTATTTTTCATTTTATTTCTTTTTTCGAAAAATTCACATTCAATCAAATGGAAAATATAATCAACTAGTAATTACATAACTTGAAATGAACACAAAAGAAAAAGAAAACTATATACCCAATTGCTTATTTTCAAAGCATGTAAGCATTCAAGTGCATGCCTATTTAATTTCAAAGATTGTTCATCTTTAAATATACAATTTCATTCCTCTCTGATTTGATTATTATAAATGGAGGTGCAGCAGAAGAGAGGAACTACATACAATATCATTCTTTAAGAATACATGAGGAAAGGCCTTTGCATAGCTTCGACATTGTGGCAACCTTAATAGAGTTAGACTTGGCTGCATCAAGCATTGGATCTGATTCGAGTGCTTTCTCAAAACAATACTTGGCCTCTTCTAACAGACCCTCAGCAATAAAAACAAGACCCAGATTGTTGAACGCGGGAGCATACCCAGGTTTTAGTTCAAGCGACTTTGTAAACATAGCCTTCGCAAGTTGATATTTTTTCTGATGGCGATAGAGAATTCCCAAATTGGATAGTATCACATGAGCTTCTTGTGTTGTCGCCAAAGATAAAGCCCGCTTGAATACTTCTTCAGCTTGTGATTGTTCTTCGGATAGTTGAAGTGAGACACCTATATTCAAATATGAAAACGTATAAGGAAACAGTTCTTTCAAGGAAAAGGGAGATGGAACCTGGCAATACAAAGGCATAGAATATCGTACACTAGAGAAAATGCATATTCCTTGTACAGCCAAGGGATATAGAAAGAAAGCACATACCGAGGTTAGACCATGCATAGCTGCAACCTTTGTCACGGGCAACAGCAGCTTTGAGGTATTTTTGTGATGTTTTGAATTGCCTAGCACAAAGATTGTGAAGGCCAAGTTGATGCCACTGCACAACGTCATCCGGATCTTCTGTTATGGCCTAGTAAAAAAGGAATGATACATCAAGCAACGATGTGAGATTGTATATCCATCAGAGACACGAAACATTTCACATCAGACTAGCTGCATAATATGCATGGTAAAAGCTCCATTAACAAGTGGATACTTAAGGAACGGAAAATTTTCCATCTGCAATACCTTTAAGAAAGCAAATACATTACCTGCTTTAGACTGGAAACAGCACGCTCTTCCATTTCCTTCAGCCCGTCCTGTTCACATTCGTATGCAGCTGATATCTCATGCTGAGCCTTGTGAACCATTGCAAGCCCGGCCCATGCTATTGGAAGCTCAACCAGGGATGAATCACCGTCTCTTATTATGGAAGCCATCTCATTTCCAGCACATGAAAGCAGTTCGGTTGGATCTTGAGATCTTTCTGCCTCCTTCATTCGATGGCTAGCAACAGCATATCGAGTAGACATGCAATTAGGTTCCAGTTTTGCTGCCTGGCAACAAAGGGAAGGAAAAAAGAAATAGTAAATCACAATCCATATTGGCCAAAACTTCCTCAGAAAATGGCTTAATAAAATAGAGAAACATCAAAGTGACACTAACACTAGGCAAAATGCAATACATATAAAATCAATCGAGTCATTCCAGCTATCTTTATTCATGGAAAAAATGCCAAAAAAATTCGCCACGAGAATTCGTTCAAGAGAATCAACGGTCAAAACAATTCTCTCAAGAACAAGGACCGGGAAACCAAGAACAACCTCAACAATTACGTTAAAAATGACTGTTAGCAAGGGGCCATGAGCACCTTCTCCAAGCACTTGCTGGAACTTCGATGATCCCCACTAATAGAAAATGCATAGGCAAGATTTGCCCAAATATGGGCTGATTTTCCATCTGCTTTAATTGCAGCTAACAAACATTCCTTAGCGGCATTAGCAGCCATGGATTGTTCTTCCGAAGCACCTTCAGAAGCATTTGCACCAGCACCTGGAATTGAAAAATCCACATGACTGAAAATTAAAACCATATTGCAAAAATTTCGCCAACCACTACATAATCATGAAAGGAGTCAGGGACAAATCAAGATAATATTGCATGAGCACGTAGATCGTGTAATCATAGTACCTGGTACAACTGAAGCATATTTACACAAAAGAAGGGTAGCATAATTGACCAGAGCTGCAGGATGGTTTTGATCTTTTAGGATCAACTCTTGAAAACACTTAGCAGATAATTCCAAATTTCCTCTGAAGGGAATTTAGTTAGTAACAATAATGAGGAAAGACATAAATGGAATAAAAACTCATATAAACTCTTTTCAATCAAAGTTCAAAGCCACAAAAATATTGGTATTTCTCAAATAATTCAATGCAATAGTATTACGCTTGAATATTTCCTTGAACAGGATAGCAAGAGAACTGCTATAAAACCAACCACTATTAAATACATGTAGTCTCCATTCTAAATTTCCCGTCACAGTTAACAATGGAAGAAATCCAAAAATGCACCATATAAAGCTGCCATATCTAAAGGTATAAGAACCATACCAATGACCCGACAAATCTAAAGCATTTGAAAAAAATGTTGATTATTTATAGATTATATAGAATAAGTTTTTTTAATTGTTAAAAAGACAGTTTGATCGAACCAAACTATACACAGTCTTCATTGATTTGGTTTAGTTTGGATTTCGTGAAAAAATATTACAATATCTGAACCAAATCAAACAGACTATTATTTATTGGTTCGGATTCTCTTACACCCCTAGCCTAGTCATATCCACCATAAAACGCCATAGTGCCTCCGTCCTTCACAATTGGCCATGGTAGTTGTAAAAAAATAGGTGACTGGAACCTGCTATGGCTGATATTTTACAACAATGTTCCTGCCTAAACCAATACTCTTCCATATGGTGTGCATTATGGATGTACTGAAGGTTAATGCTTCGCTTAAAATGAAAGACATTGTCATCACTTATTACATGAGAATGAATCTCATATTTGTTACAGTAATGGGTACATCTGAACTTACATTTGAAGATAAGCTATTCCAAGGTTACCGAGGCAGTCATAGTTCTCTGGTGCAACGGCTAACAAGGATGACAAAACTGAGATAGCACTCTACACCAGGGTTTGGAGTTTATATTGGTCCAGGAAAAAAGGGGGGAAAAGGCAGTCACGTCAATTACTAAAATTGAAACATCATATATGCCTTGAGAACATTAAAGTGTATGGAAAAGAGAGAAGAAAGTTGTACCTGCACACGCCTAGTTTTAAGAAGGATAAAACCCAATGTATTCCATACAGCCGCCTGCCTGATATCTGATTGCATTGATTCTTTCAGTTTAGAAAGAATTTCCTCAAGTTCGTGAGGTTCAAGTTCTTTGTCTGAACTATTTTCTGATGAACTTTCTATTATCAGGCACTATAAGGATTATAAGAACATGTCAATGAACAGAAAGACTAAAATCAGTAATCAGTAATTTATCAAATTAAGATTATTGCACCTGTGCATGGTGAATCTGAACTAAAGAAAGGAACTCCGATCTATCAATCTCAACCTCAGGCCTGAGTAATATCTCTTCGGCCTTCTCATAAGCCAATACGGCCTGAAAAAAATTAATGACCTAATGAGCAACCTATATGTAGGAACCGTAACAGGTAAATTTCAAAGAACTACCTTTTGCGGTTGGTTTAATCTTTGGTACATCAAGCCTAATATAAAATGAGCATGAGCATTTTTGGGCATCTTCCTCGCAACATGAACCAATCCCTAGTTTTGTCAGCAACAAACCACAACAATGGTCATAATCATGAAAGAGAAAATGGAAAGTGCACCGACGGTGTAAGAGTGAAGTGTATTCTGCCAAATCACAGATATTTTAAAATTGGTAGTATGATTTGGCATAATAATGATTTTTTATTGGACGACAGTGTGAAATTACACTACCTTTAAACTCATTATGAAAAGGAATGATTATGTCAAAGATTACGTCTTAATAACTGACTAACTAATTTTAGGTACGAATTAGAAAAGATAGCTCTCTATTCTGACTATGTGGAATCCAAAAGCGCGGATAACTAATTGATTGACAACAGTATTTAAGTTTAGAAGTGGAATAATTTAACAACAACAACTAAGACTTATTCCACTAAGTAGGGTCAGCTACATGGATCAACTTTCGTCTTAATATTCTATCAAGAGCTATCCTTCTATCCAAATCATTTATCTCGAGATCTTTCTTAATAACTTGTGTGATAGTAAAGTGGGATAATTTAAACGAAGGGAAAACATGTTTTATGATTCTAAATTAAACTCACAGTCTTCATGCTGCTAACTTTTTCTTCCCGTGAAGAAGGAGGACCTTGAACATGTTGATCACCATCCGCATCAACTCCACAGTCAATAGAAGAATCCGTCTTACTCGATTTGGAACGGCATTTTGCCACTTTGTTCAATTTCTTACCTTCTCCTTCATTACTATCGGTGTCTTTGGACAACAAACTCCTATCTTGACTGCTTTCATCGTTTATCAACCTATATATTAACACAATTACAATATTACATTATAGCACATTTACAAATACAGTTTAATTCATTGTTTCAGGCCAATTTCATTAGAATTAGAAATTCGAGATTTGGAATTGTTATCTAGAGATGGAAAATTGAAGTGAGGTGAGAAAGAAAAACCTGGTGATTTCAGTGTGTGGAGGAGGGGGGAGGGAAGAATCGTCGTCGTCGGCTTCAGGAGGATCGACGTTTAGGTCAGCCAGAACGACGAGTTTGGGAGGGGTAGGGTTAGGTTTGTTCAAGCTTGACCTTTCTACTGAACCTCCCAACTTCTCAGCCATTTCTCGTCAGTTAGGTTTCGAATTCTGCATTTCATTTCACATAATGCACTTGTTCTTGTGTTTTTAGAAAGATAAAAATCTTTTATTTTTAAAATTAATTATATTTTGTTCTGTTTTAAATATTTAAATATTAACAAAATTGTTTATTTATTTTTGATAAATTAATTGGAACAAAAAGTGGTAGCAGATAATCAATCATTCATCCTAATTATTTAAATTAAATAATAATATATTAATAGTTTAAAACATCACTTCCCCATAATAAAAAATAAAATAAAAAAGACATTTACCCAGACTGAACGCCACCTCCTCTCATATCACTAGTGAAATAAATTGAATAAAATTTTATTAATTTTTTGTCCATCTATGAACTATCTTTCCTTTTATATTCTAGCGTTCCAAACATATCCTAATTCCTAAGTGATATTCACGTGATTTTCTAAAAAACTTTTTTAAAAAATACCGCCAAGGTCTTAAAAAAATTGTTATTGAATAATAGTAATATGTAGTAAAATTATTATTGAGAGCAGAAATTACGATAATTATGATAATGATAGAAAAGATTGACATAAAAACTTGTCATCAATTGAAAAAAAAATTCTCAACTTTTTTCTCTTTTCACTCTTACATCTTAGGTATGGTTTTTGACCATTTTAGTTTGAAATCATTCATTCAACACTTTTTTTTTCTCTTTCTTTTTATAAATAAGTGATTATTTATATAGATTTATTTATTTTTTCTTTTTTTGTAATGTTAAGTTTTCGGTATTTTGTGTGATATTTGTTAATTTTTCTTTTTTAATAGGGTATTTGTTAGTTCAGATTAATATATATACTACAATTTATTATAAATTTGATAAAGACTTAGGCGTCAATATTGTAAATATAAAAATATGAATATTTTAGTTATTTTTATTTTATCATATTTGTAGGTATTTTTATGTTGTTGGTGTATAGTATTAACCTAGATATTTTAGGATTATTTACATATTTAAAAAAACAGCACTGCTATTTAGAATGAATGGTAAAAATGACTAATCATACGAACACGTTTTTTTAAGCCCTGTTCAATTTCATTAATTGTAATTTTTTTTAAATAAAGAAAATCTCCCTCACATAAATATCAGAATCTCATTTAGTAAAAGAATAAAAATTTCTCGCAGAATTTTAGCGCACTAATTCTACAACTTCTACAACCCATAACTCTTGTCAAATATAGTGACGATAGCGTAATCTACTCATCCTTAAAAAAATTAATTCTCAATCGTTCTTATGGTAGCTTTGTTGTTGTTGTCGTTGTCGGTGTCACCGCCATTGTCTTCACTGTTCTTGTTGTCCTAACTGTAAAACTCTGCATCTCTTACAACTCTAGTCCTAACAAATCGTGTAACAAATTCTTCTGTTTTGGCATTTGCTTCAATTTCCAGTAAGTATAGTTTATAATTTTTTTGCTTTCAGTTTGGTTTTAGCATTTTATTTTCCATGTCTCTTTCACCTATTAAGTTAATTCTTTCTTAAAATGGTTTCATTAGTGGAGAAAATGATTGCATCCGAAGAAGAAACTAATCGCATAAATGAAAATTATCATGATAATTTAGTAGCAAATATTGTTGGTGAAGATGAAAAACTTAAAGCTGGAGAAGAAATTACTAAATATTATAAGAATTATGCTCGATGTATCAGTTTTGGAATTGCTAAAATCAGTTCAAAAAATAGAGACAATGAAAAAAAAATATTTTACTCTACCTTGTAGTCGTGCAAGAAGTTATGTGAGCAACTCAAAGAACCTTTTGAAGCCAAATTCTATCACAAGAACACAATGTAAGGCTAGAGTAAATGTGTGCATGTCTTTAGATGGAATAATTATAGTTTCGAGAGTTGTTCTTGAGCATAATCATGAACTAAGTCCAACAAAATTAAAGATATTTTAGATGCAACAAAACATTAAACCCTCATATAAAAATGAGGTTAGAGCTTAATGACCAAGCTGGAATTAATGTAAGTAAAAATTTTCAATCTATGATTGTTGAAGCGAATGGATATGATAATCTTACATTTGGAGAAAAAGATTGTAGAAATTATATAGACAAAGTAAGACGTCTTCGACTTGGGACAGGAGATGTTGAAGCTATTCAAAACTATTTTGTTAGAATGCAAAAGAAAAATAGTCAATTTTATTATGTAATGGATGTGGATGACAAAAGCCGGTTGTGAAATGCATTTTGGGCTGATGCGAGATGTAGAGTTGCTTATGAGTATTTTGGTAAAGTCGTAACTTTTAACACCACTTGTTTAAAAATTAAATACGACATGTCTTTTGCCTCATTTGTTGGAGTAAATCATCATGGTAAATAAACTTTGTTAGGTTGTGGCTTATTGTCTAATGAAGACACTAAAACTTTTTCCTGGTTGTTCACAATATGGTTATAATGTATGCATGAGTGTGCACCAAATTCCATAATCACTGATCAAGATAGAGCAATGAAGAATGCAATTGAGGTCGTCTTTCCGAAAGCTCGCCATCGGTGGTGTTTGTGGCATATAATGAAAAAGGTTCTAGAAAAATTGGGTAGACACTCAAATTATGAGTCTATTAAAATACTTTTGCATGATGTTGTGTATGATTCATCGAGCATAAGTGATTTTGTGGAGAAGTGGGAAAAATGATTGAATGTTACAAACTGGATGGTAATGAATGGTTGAAAGGATTGTTTGATGAGCGAAATCGTTGGGTTGCTGTGTATGTGAGGGACGCATTTTAGGTTGGAATGTCAACTACTCAACAAAGTGAAAGTATGAACTCGTTTTTTGATGGGTATGTGAACTCAAAGACAACATTGAAGCAATTTGTTGAACAAACATGACAATGCATTGAAAGATAAAATTGAAAAGGAAAGCATAGCAGATTTCAACCCATTTGATACAAAAATTGCTTGTATAAGTTATTTTAGATTTGAGACTCAATTCCAAAAGGCATTTTCCAATGCAAAATTCAAATAATTTCAAATAGAAGTTGCTTCTATGATGTACTGTCATACTTTCTTTGATAGAACAGATGGTTTAAATTCAACATTTTGTATTATATAAAGTAAAAAAGTGCATGATAAAGTTAAAGATATGAAGTTTAAGGTACTCTTCAATGAGAAGAATTTTGAAATACAATGTACATGTTGTTTATTTGAGTTTAAAGGTATTTTATGTCGACATATTCTTTGTGTTCTTAAGCTCATTGCTAAGACAGGGTCAATTTCATCTTCTTATCTAATGTCAAGATGGAGGAAGGATATTAAGCGATACATATACTTATTAAACGTGGCTTTGATCCTTTAGTAAAAAATGTTGAATTACAGCGTGTTAGTAAAGCTTGTGATGTCTTTTATGAAGTTGCTTCTGTGGGATAGAGACTGAACATGACTATTAAAAGTGATGAATTAGATCAAAGATTTAAAAATTGAGTTGACATTTAAAGAAAGTTCTCCTGAAATTATTGAAAGGGATAATTTAGTTCAAAAGCATGTGACAAAAATTCTTGACCATGTAGTAACTAGATGTAAAAGGCGTTCTCCGTTGGAAAAAAAAAAGCTTCTAAGATTGATGAAATTGTGAAAAAGAAGCTTGTAGGAAAGAAAACTACAAAAAGTAACAATAATTAAAGTCAAGAAGAGGTAATTTTGAAAATTTCAAGTTTATTTATCGATTTAAATTTTATAGCATATGTATGTATAATTTGATATTGTTTATATGACAGGAACCATGTATATCTAAAGTTCAAGAAAGTGAAGAGTTTTTTCTATCTCAAACCATTGATGTTAATTGTATAAGCACGCAAGAGAGTGTTCAAGTAAATGGAATATACTACTTTGGTTTTTTAAATTTGTTTAATTGAAAATTATCAATTGCTTTAATACCATGTTCTGCATGTATATTTATTATAGTGTGGTCATAGCTATTTTTGTGGAAATAGATATGATATTTCAAAAAATTGAGCTCCCTTCAATCCAAATCTAAAACATCTTAATGATGTTTAAAAGATGAAAATAGATTCTAACTCATACTATTATTTAAATATTTACATTCATATTATTAAAATTATTGATTCAATATAGTCAAATTTCAATATAAATCACCAATTATTTTCTTTTTTGCAGGTACAAGACAGTATATATGTCCATCCATCATTATGGTGACATGAGAAAGATGCCTTGGAATATGAGAGTTGAAATGATTAACCATTTGTTAAAAGAAGATGATCGTTGAAGCAACTATTTAGTGTTACTTTGTCTTGACATTTTAATATTTTAATTTGGATGATTTTTATGTAATTGATGTTGAAGGAAAGATTATGAATCTTGTTTAAACTTAATTTTGGAAAGTATCATTTTTAATATAATTAATTGTCAAATATTACAACAAGTTGTGCCCAACAAAACACTGGTACAATAAAAATAGAACCAAAAGGATAAAAACAAACTCTAAACAAATCCTCTAATTCTTATAATAGAACACAATTAATAGGAAACCATAAAACTATGACAGTAAAAATAAAAGAAGAGTTTTCTAGCACCCTGTCACAACAGTCGACCCAAAATATGTTTTGAACCAAAGCATTCACTAAATGTACCCCTAAATCAAACCAAACAATGAATGGCCTACAAATAAAAACTAAACTCTAATCAACATTATGCTTTTTGCGTTTATGTCACCTGCAACCAAAATTCAGCAGCACTAGTTCGATATCATTTCATAAAAAAATTAAATTGATGCCTTTATTTCATAATATGTAACACGAGAAAAGAAATTAGTTGTTGTTGTAAAATAAGCATTGTTGAATTATATTTCATATTGTTCTGGATTGACCCAATGACTAGAATTGGCATATTCCGCTTCTATCCTTGGCACGGCCCAACAACAGTGGCTCAGCATCCTGGTCGACCATGCCACTAGGCATATGACCAACGATACCCAACACGCACGCGTGACCCAGTCAGCAATTGTCTCCGTCAGTCCGACTCGAGTCAAGCAGACAACCAGGAACCGTCCATAACAACCATCTGCCTGTAATCCGCCTCCTCCTTGAATCCAACGGCTAATTACGGACACACCTGCCCGTTTTGACCTAGTCCTGGAAGTCACCTATTTTTATGGACCCGCATATCTAGGCCCAAAAATAGGAATCAATGGCCAAGCGTTGGGGGCATTATATATACTCTCACACATGTGAGGGTCAAGTATCTAATATCCATTATTCATGACTAACACCCTAATATTTTACTTGTATCTCTTTTGCTCTCAAACTTATTTGATCTTTAGAGTGCCTTACAGGTGCAACCCCCCCCCCCCCCCCCCCCCCATTTTCCTCCTCGACTTTCCAGCCCGATAGAAGATCGTCATCCGACCACTTGAAGGTTCTGATCAACGGGTAAGATCAATGGCGCCGTCTGTGTGAAACTATCTTCTCTATTTTCTATTCCCCGGAATTTGAAGACCAAAGATCCTCCTCATTCAACAATCACGGTTGATTGTGATGATCACCACCTATCTGGAAAGACTACACTTTCCCCAGCGCATAAGACCGACGAAAGTCAAGAACATCCTTACCTCAAGGATAACACCGGCTTCTGCAATGGCTAGACCGCATCCCCAAATTCAGTCGATGCCCAACGTGACGACCATTAGTTCTCGGACGAGCAGCGTCCCAAGAACCCCACCAAGGAACTGCCAGAGATTCTGTAACCAGTTGTCATTCCTCACAACGCCGACCCTGTCATTGCAGTATTGCTCGCTACCATCAACCATACTAACTTCCTTATCCTGCAACAGAATAAGAAGATAGGGGCTTGGGAGAAAAAGCAGTCAAAGTCTCTTTCTCAGAGACACCAATGACATGATTCCCCCAACATATCCCCACCTAGACGTGGTCGACCACCAAGGAGGAAGAAGAGCGACGTTTCTTTCTTCAAGAAACGCAACCAAACACCTCTCATGAAGGACCAAAGCTCTCAATCCTCCAAGAAGAAGAAGAGTGACCACCAAGTTGACCGCAGTTGGTCACCGTCGCCCAAAACAAGGCAGCACCGGAAAAGCCCTTCCCTCCAACGAGAAAACGATGTCTGACGGGGAAGGAACTACCACTCCCCGCTTTCATCTTTCGAGGAAAGAGATGATGACAAGCCCTGCGGCCCATTATCAAGAGATATTACAAAGACCCAGCTCCTAGTCGGACTGGAAAATCCACCCCTGATGGGAATGTATGATGGCACGACTGATCCAGATGAACACAAAGAGAATATCGACGCCCTCCTCGCCTACCGAGGGGTCAGAGGTGTCATCAAGCATAGACTGTTTTCGACTATCCTGTGGAAAGGAGCAATGTCTTGGTACAAAAGCCTCTTATACGAGTCTATTACCTCCTGGAAACAACTGGGGAGGATGTTCTCGAGGCACTTCATTGCCTCCTGTCGACATCCAAAATCAGAAGCTTCACTTGAAGCAATTATACAGGGCAGAGATGAATCTCTGTGAGCATATATCGAGTGCTTCAATAAAGAAGTAGTATAAGTCTCCACGACCGACACCGTGAAGAAATATCTTCTCGAACACGGGCTCTGTCCCGGTAGAGACTTTGCGAAAGCAGTGGGCATTGAATCACCAGTCATGCTCGGCTGCCTCCTTATTAAGGCTCAAGCATACATTCAATACGAGGAGAAAGAAGCCGCCAACAATTCCAGGGAGTCAAGGCATCGAGAAAGTTCTAAGTCCTCAAGAAGTTACGAGCCCTCAACATCCCGTCAGGGGGGAGAAAAGAAGCGGGAAGATAGATCATGAGACTCCAAAGATTACAAGGGGTTGGATGGTCGGTTTCATAACTACACCCCTCTGACCACTTTGAGGGAACGTATTATGTCTGAATGTGCCAATTCTGAGTTCAATCAGGATAGGGTATGCTTTCCCCGACAGACACCTTCCAAACCCGGAGTTGTGATAAGTGCAAATTGTAGAAATTTTTATATATACTTTTTGTTGCACTTATCGATTTTTTGTTGTTAATACCGTTGAATAATTCCCCACTTTTTGTATAATTATGTATAAATTGTATTTAATCGATTTTTTGTGTATTTGTGTATCGTTTGATAGTTTTCCATTCATTTTATAGGTATTGATGCATATCTGGAGCATGAGCAATAAAGTGTCGAAGACACGGCTTCAAACGCGCG